GAGAGAGAGAGAATGAGAGAGAGCGAGTACATGAGAGGGGGGAGGGTCAGAGGGAGAAGCAGACTCCCCGCCGAGCAGGGAGCCCGATGCGGGACCCGATCCAGGGACTCCAGGACCATGACCTGAGCCGAAGGCAGTTGCTTAACCAACTGAGCCACCCAGGCGCCCCAGATCCTGTTTATTTTTTATGACTCCTCTAACGCGAAACATCTTCAGAGTCCTTCTGTGACTTCCTTAGCTGGATGTAATCTTCGGTCCATAGCACCTTCTTGTATGACATCAATCATGATCAGCTTACTACTAAAGTTGCTTATATGCATGTCTCCTTTATCTTACTAGAATAACTCCTTGAAGACAAATTTTATGTCCTTATGAGTTCCTAAAAAACTGTGTATATAAAAGATGCTTAATAAATGTATGTTAAGTAAAGATAGCCAACTTAAATTGAGCATTTACTTTGTGTTCTAAGAATTTTATGTATTTTGTCCCTTTCAACTATCACAACAGTTTTAGGATGGATGTCTTGTTAATATTCCCAATTTACAAATGAGGACGGTGAGGCATAGAACATTTAACTAACTCATTATTGCACCGCAAATAAGTGATGGGGCCAGGATGCAACCAAGATAGACTCCAGAGCTTGCCCTATCATCACAGTATTCTGAATGATCTATTGAACAAATACTGAGTGAGTGAATGAATGAGAATCACTTTATAGCCTTTCGGCTATGATACAATGGCTTCTAAAAGCAACTGAATGAATCCTAATCATGGTAATTTTCTAATAAGATTTTATCACAGAAGTTTCTCTTTTGTGTGGCAATGGCCCAATCTGAACCCTAAATAAAACTAAAATATGGACAAAATGCCTGTGACCTCACACCCCAGACTTAGAATATAGATGATAACCCACACATAAATAATAGACTTCTTTTTCTGTCTCTGTCTTTCTCTCTGTCTGCTTTTTTCCCCCCATTGTCACCTGGCATTTTTAAAACAGCATAATATTTAAAAAATTACTTATTTTGTGTAGGACGGTTCCAGACAGGTTATCTTTAAGTAGCAATGAGTGCAGTTTGGAGTACCTAGCAAGATTGGCATTTTGGTCCAAGTGCCTTTCCTCTCTTTTCAGTAGCTATGAATGGAGTAACTGGAAAGCAACAGAACTGCTACAGTATGCTCTGACCCGGTATGACTTCTGCAAAGGTCATGCTGTTGTATGAGTCTTCTTAAGACTTCTGGACTTTTGCATCAGGAATGGAGGATAAACTCAAAGGCTTGGGCATTATTAAATGTGTTTTGATAGCTGTGTGTGTAACATGTGTTGATACAGTGTGTTTCCTATCGTAGCAGCAATACAAAGCAAGCAGACCTTTCTGAATGAGTAAATTATTCCTGATGTTGTGTAGTATACTTCAGATTAATATGAAAGAACTCAGTGGCAAGAAAAAGCATAATAAATTGTGGCAACCTAAAGAGAAGAACCATCCTCCCTGATCATTGTCCCTACAGCTTCGTCATAGAAATAGTTTGAGAAGGGAAGGGGTGGAACAGGATGAGTAAGCTGGCCTTCATCCAACTGAGGTGAAGGATTGCCCTTCAATCCATATGAGGCTTATTTCTGGCAAAAAAAAAAAGCCGAGCTTGGCCTTTGCGACCAATTACCATGCCACAAAGGAGCAGCCGCTCACTGCTGGAGTTGTCAGCCCCAGGAAGTCCTTGAAAGAACTGTTGCCTCTTTCTGCTCAAGCACAGATCAATTCTCACCATCACTTGGGGCATTAGAGACAATGTGGTTCGCAAAACAGCATCGTAATATAATACTATTGTGTTTACAAATGAAGGATGGTACACATTTATGACCTTTTATTTCTCTTCCTTCTTTACGTAGGCTGGCTCAGGTTATGCCAGTTCATTAGTTGCTGTGTAGTGGAGAACAACTGAATTGAATTCCCAGCTTCTAGCCACAGAGTTATTAAACTGATTTTAAAAATTAAGACTTGTCAATCAGAGAAAGACAGTTATCATATGATCTCGCTGGTATGAGGAATTTGAGAAACAAGACAGAGGATCATAGGGGAAGGGAGGGAAAAATGAAACAAGATGAAACCCGAGAGGGAGACAAACCATAAGAGACTCTTAATCGCAGGAAACAAACTGAGGGTTGCTGGAGTGGTGGGGGG